GGCGGCGGCGGCGGCGGCGACGGCGGCAGCTGCAGGAGCAGCAGGAGCAGCGGCGGCGGCCGCAACAGGACCTCCTTCATCCCGTTGCTCTGCCTTTTCTTCCTCCTCTTTTCGTTCCCGGCGAGAGCTCGTGCACTTCCCCTTAACGGCGGCCGGCTCCTACGGTCCCGAAGAGCTGGGAAGGCGGAAGGTGGGCTTGGCCGTTGGTGCGGGCGGCGGGCCGGGGCCTTCGGGCCGGGCGAGGGAGCCGGGGGCGGGGCCGGTGGCCGGAGGAGGAGGAAGGAGACGGGCAGCCTGACAGCGCTGGCCTCGGCCGGCGCCCGCCGCCCCCTCCCCAGGGACAGCCACGGAGTCGGCGGGGCGGCCGACTTCTCGGGCCCTCCGAGGGCAGCTGGGACGCAGCCCCGGCCCGCAGGCGGGGTCGCGGCGCCGGGGCGCCACCTCGGCCGGCGCGGCGGGAGGAGGCTGTCTAGACGTCGGGCGGCCCGCGCCCGCCTTCCCCGCCCCCACCGGAGCCTCGGGCCTGTGGAGCGCGCGGGCCGCGGGGCACCCGCCCTGGGCGTGCGAGCCGAGCAGGCTTGAGCTTAGGGATCGCGCACGGAAGGCAGAGACACCTGTGTACTGAGCGGCTGGAGACGCTCGTCCGCGGGCCTGCGCTCTGCCTTTCCCGCCCCTCCACCATCTTTTCCTCTCTGTTTGTTTTTGTGTTTTACAGTAAAGGCATGACTTCCCGGCGCCGCAGGGAAAATAGGGTGCAAGCCCAGAAACTGTTTCCCCACCACCACCTGTTGAAAAACTGAGTCGAAGGCGTCTCTGGGTCTGAACAAACTCATTGCTAGGATTGGATGCGTCTGTAGTTTTGCATCGGAAACCGTCTCTACTTAATATCAAGGAAAAACAAACCAAAACAAAAAGCCAACTGGAAATTAAGTCGGTAAATATTTCGACTTGAAAACTCAGGAGTTTAGTTTTGCTCTAGTAAATGGCGGCTTCGCTTTTGTTAGCTAGGTCTTGGCACTTTAACTTCTTAACTTCCTCATTTGTTTAAAATATTTTTGACTTCTGAAAATACTTTTACACGTAACTAACATCATCTTTCTACGAGGTGGTTATCTGCATCAGCATTATCAAGAACAGAGCTTTCAAGTTCAGGCTTCACATTAGCACAATTGCAGATTCATTTTCTGTAAGTTTGCAATCAAAGAAAAATTCTAACTGCACCCTCAGTTTTTCATAACAGCTTTAATTGTTACTAGAATAGTTTTATTTTGTAGGTATAGAGTACTTATGGAAATTGCAAACGTTTACAATGATAATTTTCTAAGTATTAGGTGAGATTCATCATGGTGTCTATCTTTTCTCCCGTGAAAAAACCTATGCCCTAACACAATATCTCACAAGTAACACTTGTGTGCCAAAGATATAATGGGTCGGATATCCACAAAAATTAAGCATGTGAAATTCTAGACGTTTTGTGCCATACAGAATTTTCATGAATTGCTAAGCCCTACTTTGGGTCCATAGATTTTGCTCAACATACTGACAAAAGTTAAAAGAATCCTGGTGTTGCTCAGCAAGTAGACTAATGCAGCAGGATACTCTGTGGTTTGTCATTTATAAAAACTAACTCTTCAGAATATACTTGGAAGTATCTCTTCAACATGTTTATAACAAAATTATTCAGTGTCGTATCTGATGTCTTGATTATTATGAGATGTTAACTCACAGACTTAGTTCCAGGAGAGTAAGTCTTGCTAATCATTTGTTATCAAACTGTATTTATTATCTTGGGTTTCCAGTACTTGTAATTTTATAAAGCTGACAGTCCATTGATAATTTTCTAGTTTGTAGGACTAGTGAGATGACTCAGAGTAAAGGTACTTGCTGCTTGCCTGACATCCCTGAGTTAGTCCATGGAACCACATGTTGGAAAGGGAGATCCCTCTGGCTGTCCTCAGCTCCAAACATGTGCTCCCACATTTATACATACATAAATGTAAAAACTAAAAAATCAGCCGGGTATAGTGTCACATGTCTGTGATCCCAGCCACTCTGGAAACTAAAATGAGGATTTCACATTGAAAGTCCTGCTGGAGAACAGGGTTGGTTTGGTGTTTTGAATTTTGTTTCTAGGCTAAATATAGTATTAAGCTGTTTCTAAATTATGTGGTTTTGATAAATCATTTTGGGGGGCTGATTATTTGAATTTGGCTCCTTTCTTCCTGTTTTGTGTTTCATTTTTGTTTTAATTTGGTTTTGGTTTTTTGGTTTTGCATTGCTGAGGTCAAACCCAGAATTTAGCTTAGACTAGGCAGTTGTTCTCCCACTAGTGGACACCAGCTGTTCATTTACCTTTTATAAGCATCAAGTTTTGATTGGCCAGCACATATTAGGCACTATGTTAAGGGAAATAAAAATTAAGGGAAATTCAATGGGAACAGGAACCCAAATATTAAAGAACATACTGGGTTCTGTTGATTACACCTTTTAAAAACGTAGGAGATATACATGTATTAAAAATTATATTTTTCCAGACATGGTGCCATACAATTTCAGTCTCAGAATTCAGGAGGTGGCAAAAATATGTCTCTGTCTACATAGTGAGACACTGTTTTTGTTTGGTTAGTTTTCTAGACTGAGTTTCTCTGTGTGACCCTGGCTGTTCTGGAACTCATTTCATAAAACAGGCCTGCCTCTGCCTCCGAGAGTACTGGGATTAAAGGTACTACCAGGCATTGAGATCCTGTCTTAAATAAGTAGTACTTACTGTCAGCTATATGTAGGCCTCAAGTTGTAATGTCATTGTAAATAGTTACACTTGCTTTATGGTTGTTTTTAGTGTTTACTTGGTTTTTTTCTTTCGAAAATAAGGTTTGCTACCAAATTTGTACACAGTTGAGTTCTCAAAATCACTTTCCCAGCAAAAAAACTTTTTACTTTGAACACACATCTAACTTGGGCAAGATTAGTATTTTTAGTACTCTGAATCTTTGCTGTGATTGTGATTTTCTAAAAAATAGAGACATTTAGAATATTTTAATATTTCTTCATGAGTCTATTTGTCATAAAAACCAAGGTATTGGGAATTTGAATTAATACGTTGTATGCTTCCTATGTAAGTATGTGGACTTCAGGTCAGATTCCCAGCATCCATGTAAAAGGTGATCCCAGCAGTATGTATCTATAATCCCAGTTCTGGGTTCAGTTAGAGAAACTACTCAAAAAATAGTAAGGTGTACACATAGGCATATACCACATACACACAGATGTCAAGGAATGGACCTAGCTATATGCTGCTAATTTGCTCTAGTTTTGTTTTCCTTGAATATTTCAGGTAAGGTTTAGAAGACATGACCTACAAATTGAACTAAGAATATTTGGGGGATACTGAGGATCATAGAATTAAATTTGGTAGGGTTTTGGTTTTTTTTTTTTTTTTTTTTTTTGGTTTTTCGAGACAGGGTTTCTCTGTGTAGCCCTGGCTGTCCTGGAACTCTGTAGACCAGGCTAGCCTCGAACTCTCAAACCCAGAAATCCGCCTGCCTCTGCCTCCCAAGTGCTGGGATTAAAGGCGTGCGCCACCACCGCCCGGCTGGTTTTTTTTTTTTTTTATCTTTACCCTTTAAAAAAATACTTATAACCCTACCTTTTATTGTTAATCACTTCTAGAATGAACTATTATCATAATACTAACATCTTTTTCTTGTCTTAGAAGAGCTGTATTCAGAGACAAAATGGAACGATTTGTTGTAACAGCACCACCTGCTCGCAATCGTTCTAAGACTGCTTTGTATGTAACTCCTCTGGATCGAGTCACTGAATTTGGAGGTGAACTTCATGAAGATGGAGGAAAACTCTTCTGCACTTCTTGCAATGTGGTGCTGAATCATGTTCGCAAGTCTGCCATTAGTGACCACCTCAAGTCAAAGACTCATACAAAGAGGAAGGCAGAATTTGAAGAGCAAAATGTGAGAAAGAAGCAGAGGCCCCTGACTGCATCTCTTCAGTGCAACAGTACTGCGCAGACAGAGAAAGTCAGTGTTATCCAGGACTTTGTGAAAATGTGCCTGGAAGCCAACATCCCCCTGGAGAAGGCTGATCATCCAGCAGTCCGAGCATTCCTGTCTCGACATGTGAAGAACGGAGGGTCCATACCTAAGTCAGACCAGCTGAGGAGAGCATATCTGCCTGATGGATATGAGAATGAAAATCAGCTCCTCAACTCACAAGATTGTTGACAAGGCAGTTATGACCATTGTGATCAAGATAAATAATGTGGAGTATTAAAGTTAATGTGTTGATTGTGTGGTTCATTTTTATATTTATTTCATTTTAAATCATGTGATTCAGAATAGTTTTGCAATGTGTATATAGTTACAGGCAAAAGACAGAAACCTCACTGCAAAACTTGCTAATTTTAGTCACCGATGATATAAAGTAAAGCTTAGCTATAGAGTGTATTAGGCTATCTGAAACCTGGTGGTTATCTTTAAAACTGACAGATGTTCTCCTGAAATGTTTGTGCATGGAAGAACTTCCCTGCATTGTAGCCCTGTTGCCATGTATGATTTTTTTTCTTATGAGGTTACATAATTTGGATTGAGAACTAGCCTAGAAGACTGAAGCTGCTGCCAGGCTATACCTTTCCCAAGACCTTGAAGAAGTTCAAATTCTTTTCAAAATAGACAAGGCCAGAAATGTTCTTAGAGCTTGAGATCTCTAGGAGAAATGACTGTTCGGATTACATTCTACTTGTATGTGAAATAATTGCCTAACCTTCACTTCTCACAGTCTCATTTTCTGCTTTTTAAAGACATGTATTTAGTAGCAGCTTCAAGTGACCAAAAGACTAAAATCTCTCTTAATGTCTTTGCCAAAAGCCATGAGGGATTTTGCAGTGATGAGATTTTAGTCTTGAACTATGAACAAAAATTTTCAAACCATAGTTTTCATGTTAAATACCATCCTGGATTTGCAAACTTTTTTATGTCTTGGTATTAAGACTACAGGACTGATCTTTTAATTTAAATACACTGTCTTCTGTTTTCTCTTTTTACAGGGAATTAGTTACTTTTTGGCTGACAACAAATAAGAAAATTGCTTTCTATACATTAATTTTTCCATAAGATTTTATAAGAGTTTAGGTAAATAGACTAGAAACGAGTTTTAGTTTTACTTCTACTGCTTTGCCTCTGGTGATGCAGGTTTTAAAACTTGGATGCTTAACAATCCAGAAAAATGAGGCAACAATTTTATAGTAAAAATAAAGCAGGATGCTAAGTCAAGTAATCAGTTCTGTTAAAGGTCAACCATGTTTAGGTTCTCTGAACTTCACTTTCTGTAAGCTTATTAGAAGTAATTTAGCTCAATAAGTCCTCTTCATGAGATCCGAATTATATTTTTTAAAAGTTTAGTAACTGAAGACTTAGAGCTTTAATATTTAAAAAAAAAAAAATAGTTGAAAACAGTGAAGTTATATTTCTATTTTAAATCAGTGGCAAGATGCCCTGAGTGACTTGGAGTTATCTTTGAGGTCATTGTGCCGCAAATTTCCATTAAACAAAAAGCCAAAGTTAATAGAAAAGGTAATTTTTGGGTTTTGTTTTGTTTTGTTTTGTTTGTTTTTTGGGGGGGACACAGGGTCTTTTTACATAGCCCTGGCTGTCCTGGAACTCACTGGAGGCTAGCCTCAAGACCCACCTGCCTCTTTCCCTTCTGAGCGCTGAGATTAATGGTGTGTACTATCACACCCAGCAATAATTTGTGTTTCTAAGAACAGCTTGTCTAATGGGTCTTACAGATTTAACATTCCCAATTCAGGTTGTCAAAGTGACCACTTGCTTTGTTTTTATTTTAAAAGCCTGCTATGGAAGAAAATAATCAGTTCTCAAAAATTGCAGTTTTTATTTTCTCATGTTTGGTTATATTCATGTAGCACATAAATGCCTAGACTAGTTGTCTACTAACTGCAGTTGGTAAACACAGAGACCAGCAGCAAAGTAGACAGCGATTGCTTCCACTTCCTTAAGGAATTTGCAGGCAACCATGTTTAAATTGCCTAAGATGGTAGGAAATCTAAGCAACTAAAATAATTGAGTTTTGTACCACTATTTTCAGAAGAAAAACAATCAATTTTTCAGAGTTCCATGTGATTTGGACTATTCCCTGTTGTCTGGGACTATGCACTGTCAGTAAACATGGCAGAACAGCTTCTAGTAGTCCAGTAACATGTTTGATGTTGCACTAGGAAAATAATTCACCTTTGCCTTTCTTACAGTTACTACTGATTTCACAGTTACTTAGTTCCTATAGAACTGTTTTTCCAGGCTTGCAACTATTCTTCCATTTTGAATCTCTAGGGGCATAGTTCATTCTGTTAGGGTTGTATCATGTCCTTAGAATGAGGTTTCCATCCCCTTGGGGGAAAATTAGTATTAATGTTTCTTCACCGATTATGAACATTTGTTTCTTGGAACTGGTTAAATTTGTCTCATAAATGATAACAGTGGTTATAGTAGCCTGTGCAAACTGGTAAAGATTTGCAAAACTATGATTGGCATGTTAGATTACAAATGAGAGTGGCTAAAGTGTATGCTAGGTGAGAGAGGCAAAGTGAGTTTATGTACAGAAGCTTTCAATCTTATATAGTGTTAGTATGATACGATACTATTGGACCAATAGCAGCTCTTTTTTATTAGTTGGATGCATTATCACAAGCTTTGTAATGTTTCATTTATAAACTGCCTTCAGCACATGCTTACCTGTTAATGTTTTCTCAAGAGTATCATAGTATGTCTTCCAGACCCTCATTGTATCCTTACAGTAAATAGGTCTAGCTTGTTGGATTTCCTGTTGGTTTCTTTTTCATTATCTGTGACATATAGCAAGCCTGAAAGATATTGTAATCATTTTTTTTCTTTTACAGAGTGAGAAATTAGATTGTATATGAGAGCCTATATACTTATTTTATCCATTATCTTTGATTAAGGCTTTCTAATGTTACTTAGTAAATGTTTCTTCCAGTTAATGCCTGTGGCCCTACTGAATTTTAAGGGACCAGAAAACTTTTAACAAGTAAATCTTACTGTTTTAAACAGTAAATTTGTCTGATTAGGAATGTTCTGAAATTGGACATACAGTTGGCAAGATTCCTAAGCTAAAACTTTGGCCTGAAAGAATGTGTACATGAATGTTAATAAGTACATGAAAGCAAATTAAGTTTAAGGTGACCTAAAAAAAAGGCTAGAAACAAGTTTTCATTTGATTCTTAGTCTTTGTAAGAGCTCTCTGTTTGACTTACCTCAACTGCCATTAAGTGAGGGTAAATCACCTTAAAATAACTGATTTACATGGAAAGTTAGTTGCAGAGTTTCCATCCTATCTGGCTTTGGCTTTGGTCAGCACCGGTGAAATGTGAAGTGGCTATTCTAAACCCTGGTTGATCTCAACCCATACTCCCAGACTGCTGAGGTAACTACAGTCCGTTACCTAGTGCTATTCTACTTGTATCCAGAATACTGTATTAAAATTTTACTATGTTAATTTTCGTACTCTTGTGCTTATTTTTTACTTTTGCTCATGCACGTATTTTAGTATAAATGTGTTGATTTTTTTTAAAAGTTTGTGATATTTAGAAATAAATTTCAAAAAAGTTTCTAAAGTTTTTGAAATCATATTTTGTTTTGTGAGCCAGTGACAGACATTTCATAATTTTAAGGTTTTGTGTACTGAATTTTGATTTTTCTACCAGTCGTTTATTTGTAGTGTTAACCTCTTAAGCCACGGTGACATCCAGGCTTCAAACTGCCCTGTTCTTCCAAAACACTAGGCAGTGGGTAAGTTCAGTCAACATTTTAGTGGGAACATTGTACTTCCACAAGTATTACGAAGGACTAGGATATAGCTCAGTGGTTACCCGCAGACTATAACTCCAGCTCCAGAGGATCTAACACTTAAGGACTTCTCAGGCATCAGAATGCAAGTTCATATTAATTTACATAGGCAAACAAATCTTTAGAAATATCATGAACATCAGTTGACCATAAGCCAGGATATATATATATCTCCATGTATGTATGTGTATATATATATATATATATATATATCCTTGTTTACCTCTTGTTTGTTTTCAAAACTCTAGTTCAATTAAGACAATAAGATTGTCTTTGAAATTATTACATGGTTTGGCATACCCCTACCTCCACTCACATCTGAGCAAGGGAATAGTGAACTAATTATGGTGGTTTATTTTCTGAAACCAAAGTGTCAGAAAATCTTTTAGGAATCAACCCATACTGTTCAGTTTTATGTTAGAGAACTTCCTTCAGGTTTTCTAAAGAACCTCAGCTTATTAAGACAAAAGTAATTAGTAAGCAATGAGCCTCTCCAATATATGTTATATATGACAGAGAAATGTCTCTCCTCAGGACTCAAGTGCAGTGACATGCTGCACAAAGATATGTCTTTGTTTCAGGGCAACTACAAGCATTTCACGTGAAACTTGTTACCAGACAAGTTCTTGTCCAGGTCCTCACAGACTTGTTTTAAAAAGCACAAAAATTGAATATCTGCAGAAATGTATCTTTTAGAAATTTGGAAATCTATATAACCTATAGAATACCAATTTCAGATTAAAATCTATCAAGCAGTGAAATTGAAATCCTTGGAAAGAACCTTCCATAAGAATTTTAACAACCTGTGCACAAAAGGCCAAACATTTAATTGACTGTTCAGTATCAAGAAAGACGCAAGTGTATGTAGACAAATACTCATTAGTGATTATCATAACCCAAGTCCATGGGGTTATATGTATATCATAATAAATGCTTAAAAGTTTTCTATTTAAGTATGAAAGCTGTACTTCACTCTGTACTCTTATCTTGCTCCTTCCTCTCCACCCCTTTTAGATCTACACTTTTACCATGATATTTAATACTTATTCAAGGGCTGGTGAGATGGCTCTGCAGTTAAGAGCACTGACTACTCTTCCTGAGGTCATGAGTTCAAATCCCAGCAACCACATGGTGACTCACAACCATCCGTAATGAGATCTGATGCGCTCTTGTGGGGTGTCTGAAGGCAACTACAGTATGTAGTATTCAATAGTAATAATGATGGGGACTGAGAGATGGCTTAGTGGTTAAAAGCACTTGCTCTTGCAGAAGACCAGGTTTAATTCTCAGCACCCAAATTAAGTATAACTCCAGTTCCTGGAACCTGTCACACTCTTTTGACCATCACAAGCTCTGCACAAGATGCACATGCAGAAAAGCTGTCATATGGATAAGAATAAAATATTAAAAATAAAGTATGATAAGGTTATACATTCCTTTTAATCTACTAAATTCCCCCTTTTTTGGGATGTAGCCTATGAATGCTAATAGCAAGTATAAAATACATGTAAAACGAGGCACTTGGTGGGCAGGAGAGGGTGAGACAGTATGCTGCCTAGTCTGGTGTCAACTTGACTACAAACTAGTTACCTGAATGGAGGGAGCCACAATTGAGAAAAATGCCTTCATAAAATCCAGCTGTAAAGAATTTTCTTAATTAGTGATTAACGGGAGGTGGGCAGTCCATTGTGGGTTGTCCAATCTCCTGTTTTGTGGACCTGGGTTCTATGAGAAAGCAGACTGCCTGCCTAGTCCACCTGGAGCAGCAGAGGAGAGCTGCAAGCTATCCCCTGACTTCCATCATCTGGCCCACAGCCCAGTCTGCCTTCCCAAAAAGGCCTGCAGGACCCCAGAAACATCCAGGCCCATGGTTCTCCCTGCCTCCCTCAGGAGTCCTGCCAGCATTGGGAACATTTGGTAAACAACAGGAATGACCAGATGTTTTAAGACCAGCATAAGAACATAATCAACCACAGTCAGAGCAATAAGGGACCACCAGAGCCCACCTATCCAAGCAAGCCCTGGATATATCCTAACACCTGAAATACAAGATGACTTAAATTCAAGATGATACAGGCCTTTAAAGACCATTGAAGAAGGAATTAATAAATCCCTTAAAGAAATACAGGAAAATACAACTAAACAGGTGAAGGAAATGAATGAAACTGTTTAAGAACTGAAAAATGGAAATAGAAGTAATAAAGAAAACACAATCTGAAGGAACACTGGGTATGGAAAAACCTAGAAAAGGGAACAGAAACTACAGATGCAAGTATCACCAATAGAATATAAGAGATGGAAGTGAGAATCGCAGACATAGAAGATATGATTGAAGATATCGACATATCTGTCAAAGAAAAGTTAAATCTAAAAGTTCCTAGTGAAAAACATACAAGAAATCTGGAACAATATGAAAAGACCAAACTTAAGGATAATAGGAATAGGGGCTGGTGAGATGGCTCAGCGGTTAAGAGCACCGACTGCTCTTCAGGAGGTCATGAGTTCAAATCCCAGGATGGTGGCTCACAATCATCCATAATGAGATTTGATGCCCTCATATTGGTGTCTGAAGATAGCTACAGTGTACTTTGGGCCAGAGCGAGTGTGGGGGTGGGGGGGAGCAAGAGGAAGAAAGAAAGGAAAAAGAAAAATAAAGAATAATAGGAATAGAAAAAGGAGGAGATTCCAGTTACAAGGCCCAGAAAATGCTTCCAACAAAATCACAGAAGAAAATTTCCCCAACATAAAGAAATATATATCTATAAACATACAAGAAGCTTTCATGCATCAAATAGATTGGACCAGAAAAGAAAACTCCCCCTCTACATAATAGAATACTAAATCTATACAAAGAAAGAATATTGAAAGTGGCAAGGGGAAAAGGCCAAGTACTAGATAAAAGCAGACCTGTCAAAATTATGTCCAACTTCTCAACAGAGACTCTAAAAGACAGATGAGCCTGGGCAGATGTCTTGTAGAACCAAAGAGACCACAGATGTCACTCCAAACTACCATTTCTAGCAAAACTTTAAATTATCACAGATGGAAAAAACAAGATATTCCATGACAAAACCAAATTTAAACAATATTTATCTATAAATCTAGCCCTACAGAAGATATTAGGAGAATTCCAACCCAAGGAGGCTAACTACTCCCAAGAAAACACAGGAAATAAATCACCTCACACCAGCAAACCAAAGGAAGGAACACACACACACACACACACACACACACACACACACACACTACTGCTATAAACATCAAAAGAACAGGAATTAATGATCATTGTTCATTAATATCTCTTAACATCAATGAATGAACTCAACTCCCTGTCAAAGACAACTCCTGTAAAAGACACAGGCTAATAGAATGAATGAGAAAACAGGATCCATCATTCTGCTGCGTGCTAGAAACACACCTCAGAAACAAAGATAGACATTAACTCAGAGTAAAGGGCTGGAAAAAGATTTTCACAGACCCAAGAAGCAAGTTGAAGTAGCCATTCTAATATCTAATAAAATAGATTTGCAACTAAAATTAATCATAAGATATGGGGAAGGACACTGCGAATTCATCAACGAAAAAAATACTTGAAGATGACATCTTATGTCTGAACATTTATGCCCAAAATACTACAAGTACACTCACATTTGTAAAAGATAAATTACTAAAGGTTAAATCACCGACTGAGGCCCACACAGGAAGTGCTGTGGAAGCTTAAGCTGAATAAACCCTTTCCTCCCCAGCTTGCTTTTGGTCATAGTGTTTTGTCACAGCAGAATAAATCCTTTCCTCCCCAACTTGTTTTTAGTCATGGTGTTTTGTTACAACAATAGAAACATTAATTAAGACACAGAGTCTCTCTACATAGCCCTGGCTGTGCTAGAGTTCATTATGTAAACCAAGCTGACCTTGAACTCACAGACATCCACCTACCTCTACTTCCCAAGTGCTGGGATTAAAGTCATGTAGCCACCATTCTGGCCAGTTCGTTTTAATATAATGAAAATCACCAGTAAGTACTCTAAAAGTTCAGCAGTAGAGTGATGGGTAAATGTATGTCCTAGCTATATTATAAACTACTGAAGTTATCTAGACATTTGAACCAGATTTGTCTATGCTAATTGCTAAATTTGAAACATACAGAGTAGGTTTTCTCACCTTTGAAATAAACTATGCAACCTAAGTGTATTAGGCTTGTATGAGATCAAACCAAATCAAATTTGATATTCAACAAATGTAAAAATAACTGGAAAATGTAGACATTGAATAAGGCCAGAGGAGAATAATAATAAAACAAAACCAGCTACACCCCATATGATTAACTCATTCACAACGACCTATGTTATCATTGCCATATACATAAAATATGAAGTAATGTATTAAAACCAGTTTGCAGGACCATCATATCCAAATATAAAGACTAACAAGCTGCTTAATTTATCTTTTTTATTATGAAAATATTGAACATTGTAGATATTTAATTTGTTAATTTGTATTACAAAATCTTTTTGTTGTTGTTGTTTTGTTTTTCGAGACAGGGTTTCTCTGTGTAGCCCTGGCTGTCCTGGAACTCACTCTGTAGACCAGGCTGGCCTTGAACTCAGAAATTCGCCTGCCTGTGCCTCCCAAGTGCTGGGATTAAAGGCG